CACCAGGCTGGGACCTCGAAGCGATGCTTGTCCTGGGCCAGAGGTGTCTCCCAAGGACATCCCAGCCATGTGCAATCAGACACAGCAGTTTATGCTGCTTCCCACTTCTGCTTTGTGTGCACGTAGCATTGCCCGGAGATGTGTGGTGTGGGATATCAGGCCTGGATTCACCTCTCTTCTTTTGCACATCTCTCCCTGTCTCCTGCCTGCCTTTGTAGTCAACGGGGAGAGATCAGCAATTCCAGGATTTCGGCTCTCACCGAGCGCGGCGCCTGCATTAGGCTGCGTGCATTACCAGAGCCCATTTCTCTGTGGACTGTAGACAGAGCCCCAGGTGCTCTGCTCTCAGATGCAGACATCCTTCCTCTGAACATCTAAAGCTGGGTGAAACAGCCACCACCCTTCACATTTCTCACATACATTAAAGGCTGATAAGGAGCCTGCTACGTTCTAGCCTGAATTCCTTAATGTCCAAGTTATACAACCCTGTCCTTGTAGCGACATTGTCCTGCAACTTTATGCTTGCTTTTCCACCCTGTAGGTACTTGGGCTGTGCCTCTCTTTTGGCAGAACAAGACCATTCCCTTTTATCTCCCTGTGAAAGCCAAGGTCCTCCAGCATTTTCCTTGTAAGAAGGGCTCTCCATTCCCTTCATTGCCGTATCAGTTCTCTTCCACCACGGGTTTCTTGATCAAGGGTGATTAAAAGAGGACACTATATTCCAGATGAGATCCCTCAAGGCCATATTGAGGGAATTCTCCTCTATTTCCACTGGAAACATTGAGCCTGGTGATCCCAGGATTACATTACCCCAGTGTGCTGCACCACATTGGCAACTCAGGGTCATCCCGAAGCTGACTAATGCACGTGGATGTTCCTTTCTTCTGGAAGCAACTACAGTCTGCTTCAATCTGGAATGTTCAGTCTTTTTCTGACCTAAGCGTTATACCCGGACAACTTATCACCAAGTGGAAAGTCTTATCTCAAGGGTTACCCAACGACCTGTGGAAAACCAGCAGGATTGAGCCAGCTCCCGGTCTGTCTTCAAGAACTTCCCGATGCAAAAAAAGGGCTGGGAAGAAAATAGTTTTCAAAGCTGTGACTTATGAGAAGAAATAAGTCCAGAAAAGAAACTGTTATAGAGTGAAACAGGCGCTGCATTTGGCCAGACTTTGCTGAAACAGAATACTCTGACAGCCCTTGAGTAACTGGGTTTCTGCATGGGGCTGGGAAAGGGATTTGTTCGTTGCTGTTTATTCAGCTTTGGATTTTGGGAGACATCAACATCACTTTTTGTTGTTGTTTTCGTTCCTTTCCGAACCAGTTAGAAATTTCAAAATCCTGAAACTCTTCCCAAAACGAAAGAGCTGGGTATTGCCCAACTCCTCCTGTTCCTACCTCCGCCCTCCCGATGAGTTATACACAGGGTGTGACATTCTGGGATCGCGCTGATCCCCAGGTGCTGGAAAGGGCCACTTCCAGCAGCTTCTCCCTAAGTAGGGCTCAATCCTGCTGTCGGTAAACCTGTCCCTGCAGAAAAGAACACCCAATTCCCTTGGCTCAGCCACTTAAAGGTGCAGTTGCCAGCAGCATCCCAGAGCCAGCTGCTAAAGCTGCTCCTGACCCTACAGTTCTTTATCTGCATGGACCTCGGGGCAGTTGTTTCTCATTCACACCGCTGTAAATAAGAGCCGAATCAAGCTATTAGTGTCTCACACCTCAAGCATTGGGGCTTTCTCTGCATTTGTAGAAAAGGTTGAGGTTATTACCAAAGAGGTGAGAATGAGATAATAGCTGATGTCTCAAGGGTGCCAGGCATCCCGGTCTGAAGTGATTCTTTACTTCAAGCGCATCATAATTCCCTGGTGACTGCTAACTGGAGCCTGGTGCCTTCCTCGCATTTATGGGCTGCTAGCAGATGATTATAGAAAATACGGTAATTAAATAAGTACTTCAGCTGGGGAGGTTTGGCCTGGGAAGGAGTAAAATTAGACAGGGCAGTGTGAGCTGTTCCAAAGCGTGAACTCTGATTGATTTCACTTTCTGTTCTTGTAACGTGTCCAGTAATATTCAGGAGGAGGAGCAGGAGGGGTCACCCGGGAAGGTCTGTGACTGGTGAATTGGAGCCAGTAGGCTAAAACACCCAGCATGTCACAGCCCCATTCCATAAGGTACAATACAAGCAGGGGACACGCAAGCTTTGAGAGCCAAAAGGTCCCAAGTCCTATTCGCAAGGGGGATGTTTGAGCAGAGCTGTGCAGCAGATCAGTGGGAAGCTATGGGTTGTCCTCAGACCTGGCTCCAGAAGCTGCCTTTTCTGCCCTGCTGCCTGTTCCCTTGGCCGGGCAACTGCTGGGATTCCAGAATAAAAGTGGTTCTTGGGGCCTCCTATTCATGCTATATTTATGATAGCATCTCTTTGGGGGAGCCCGGGGAAGCTCACAGCTCTTCCCCCTCACTGTGTTTTGCATACGTTGCTCCTCTCCAGCATAACAATTCCCAGCAAAGCCAAGGCCAGGGGTTGAACTGGCTCCAACCAGTAGGAACCTACAATTAGCCAAGCATCTCTGGGATGCCATCAACGCAGGATTCCCTTTGATGAAGCGTCGTATCCAGGTAACCTGTTCCTAATCAAATAAGACACCTTGGTGTGCAGGAAAGGGCACTGCCGGCCATTCCGGGTGCTCCAGGAGTGTGCTGTGGGCAGAGCAAACAGGAAGCTGAGGGATGGACCACTGAGAGCCACTCCACCTTTGCCCAGGGGTGTTGGGCAGGTGACGAGTCACTTAGAGCTGCTCCGGCTCCAGCTCCGGCTCCGGCAGTGACGCATTGTTTTGAACGAGAAATTCCAAGAGCGTTGATGGTCCTTTTGCTTTAGGGGCAGCGTCATTGCTTGAGGTTTTTGGGGTTAAGTCCACAAAGATGCTGACCTTCCTTGCTCTCAGGAACCCCACAGGATTTGGGGCCAGGGCTCACCCTAGGAGCACCCTTGGAGGTGCCAAAGGAAGGAGGAATGTCAACCAGAGCTTTCCTCTTGAGTAGATGGAGAGAGCACCCATTCCAAACCGTGAGTCATTGAGGCTCTGAACCACCCTCTTTGGGGGAGGCCACCTCTCTTTTCTTGCTGCAGCCCATAGAGGGAGCTGATGGTGCTTTGAATCACCTGGCACGAAATCTGTCCTCGGTGCTTACATAAGAGTGGGATGCCGAAATACCTGTATGGCTTGGGATTTTTGGAGCCACCCATGAGGCCTTTGGTCTCTCCTTGCCATGCGGCTCTTGCAGCACCTCGTGATGCTGGTGCAGAGGGTTAGATAAGGTAACTGACGGCATTAAAGAGAAGCCAACGTCTGCTCAGACTGCCCTCTCTGGGGTTCTCTTCTCTGTTTGGGTTTCCGTCCTCTTCTGATTAAAGAGGTGAACTCTAGACTGAACCTCTTGGAGCACTTGGATCTAAGAGGAGGACCTATTCTAGACCCCAGCAGTGGAAAGATGAGTTGTATTTTGAATTCCATCTCTGCTGGAGCGTGGTGAGATTCCCTCAGATGTGAATAGCTGCTGAAAACACTCAGGTTGAGACATGATGCAACAATCCTAGGAGCTCTTCCAAGACATTGCCTCTTGGGCCAGTGTGCAGGGAGTGGAGTTGGGGCCATCAGAGCTGGCAGCAGAACTTGAATCAAACCAGTTGCAGCTGTTTCTGGGGACTGATGGGCTCTACATCACACACACGGACAAGAGCCTTCCACTGTCTCCTTGGGGACTGGTGCTCTAGACCTCTAGACTCTTTCACTTGACGCTTTGCTGTTCTCAGTGCCTCGCGCGTAGGGAAGGGCAAGACATCAAAAGCTCAATGGGAGCATCCAAAAGTTCATCTGAAGCATGCAGACCTTTAGCATTTGTAACGGGAAGTTGGAGAGATTTCAAGCACTCTCATCCCACCTCCTGGCGCTTCTGTTTCTGGTTAGGGCCAGACATAACCACAAGAACAAGCTTTCTCACGGTGTTTCAGCACATTTCCTGTTGGTCCTGGAAGAACATTTGAAATTAAGAGGACATGTAGCCTTTGTAGAGCCACAAAGGCTCTGTTTTGGAAACAGGCACAGGCGCCCTGGCTGTTGGTAAGGAGTGAGTTTATTTTCTTGAGCCAGGATGGATGTGTCCCCCCCCCAAAAAAGCCAGTAGAGTTAATTCTATCTTATGGAGAAATGAGTCAAGGTCCTGCAGGGCTCTAATGCGATGGGAGCATCCCCGGATGCTTCAGGAGATTCAGATGGAGCAGCCTTGTGCAATGGGTAATCTTGGAGCCCGCAGAGGGTCAGAGGTGGGTGTGAGGATGGAATAACAGTGCTGTGGAGGGAACGTCCTCCGTGGTGCTCTCACACCGGCCACTGTTTCCAGGGAGGTTTTGTCTGTCTCTTTCATCAGAGGCCGTTGGGCTGTGGGAAACGAAAGGGCCATGGGCAGAGCTGGCTGGAAACTTGTGTGCGTGGTGGTGGGGAGGGAGCTACAGGGAATTATTTCACCTGGGGAAAGGGGAAGACAGTTGAAAATGGTTTCATCAAAGAGTTTGTCAGAGAACAAGCAGGGTTTATTCCAACGCAAGCTGGGGTTTGCTGCATCTTCCTGGGATCGTTTTTGTCGTGACGGACATTTGTCACCGAATGAAATCAAAGCACATGAAAAACAGCCAAGAGAAAAGCCCAGATCGCCCCTTGGTCTCAAAAGCCCTTGGAGAGTTCTTCTCCATTGTCCTGGTTGCAGACTGGAGCATGAGAAAGCAGCTTTGGGCTGGGAAAAGGCAAACGAAGGGCCCACCAAGCCTTGCTGCTACCATAAGAGGTGAACTGTGTCCATTGAGACATCCAGCCACATTGCTTTGGTTCCTTCAAGTGCATGCTTGGGTTTAGTTTGGGGCTCATGAAAGAGCCAGTGCTTGGGTTTGATGTATCTTGTTTCAGATGTGAATCCTCACAATCTAACTTATTTTCTTTATCAAGATTAAAGAGCATCGCACCAGAGAAATTTAGACAGGCAGCAAGAGAGTTCTGAGGCACGGAAGGGTTGAAACCACAGAGCTGGGCTGGGATTTACCATCATCTCCCTACGAGGCACAGGTATAGTTTACTTTCCCTGTTTTATCTTTGCTAAGTCTTAATCACGGAGTTGCTGCAATTCCTTCAAGCAGGTTAAGTCAAGGGAAATTCCCAGGTCAGGTCATCCATCCTCTGCCCTCAGTTCTGATCCTGTGCTTTGCTAAACCCAGAAAGATGTGGATTTGGCTCAGCAGCAGGATTTGAACTGGAGGCTGGAGTGAGAGCACTGGGGGGGTTGACCTCTGTCTTGCCTCAAGCATGGCAAGCCAGTGAAGGTAGAAAGATGTCCAGGTCTGTGTTACTTCAGACAGAGTTTCCACATCCCACCTCTGCCTCGTGAGGAACTGTGTTTAACAACTTCCAAGCCCTGCATTTGACTTCAGCTGGGAACCTGGGTCTGATTTGTTTTGAGAGTGTCAACTCCATCGCTGGCAACGTGGGAGGGTTTGGAGAGACCCCTGACAAGGGTGACACAGGCAGAGCTGTCCCTTCTTCAGGGGGTGTGATGAGCAAGGTGACCTCTTGCCTTCTTCCTGCCTAGCTCCATCCCTTTCCTACCTTGCCTCTGCTCCTCTACGTGGTGAGGCAATGCAGCATCCTCAGCTTGCCTGCTGTAACCCCCAGCTCCATGAGGACGAAAGCCCACCTGATGATACATCATGCTCCCCTTTTGCAGCCAGACTCACTGAGGGCTGACATCCAGCCACAAAGACCTTGTGGAAGCAGTGGGACAGGGGAAGAGGACTTGACAGAGACCACACAGGGGCTACCAGCCTTGCTTGGAGTCGATCCCAAATCCCTAGGCTTAGTTTGCCACCCGCGGGGCCACGCTACCTCCCTTGGGCAAGGGGAAGACTGCTGGGACAACTCTTTTCTTGTCAGCTTTTTTTTTTTATTTATTATTATTATTATTTAATTAAATGAAATTAAATTTCTGTAGCATCTTTTCTTTTGTATTATTATTACGGTGATGTACCTTAGGCATTGCTCTGAGTCCATCGGGGTGAGCTGTAGAACACACTGCGTAGACGGGTTGACTATCTGCCCGCTGCTCCTCCCTTCCCTCCTGCTCCTCTCCTCCAGCCACCCTAGAGCTACGCTGCACTAAACGTGCTTCAGTTTCAGCCATCCCCAAGCTGCACATCAAAGGCTGCCTCTGCTTCCCTGGCAGGCTTCAGGGATTAATCACACCCGGGCCTGCGTGGAAAGCGTGACCGTGTCACACTTGTTTGTCTCGGATGGGAGCTCTCCTGGTTATCTTGCAGGGAAAGAATCATGGAATCAAAGCAAAAGACCTCGAAGCTCATCCAGTCCAACCAGCACTGCCAAGGCCACCACTAACCCATGGCACTGAGGGCCTTGGCTACACGGTGTGTGAACGCTTCCAGGGATGGTGACTCCAGCGCTGCCTGCTCACCAACCAACTTGTTGGCCTTCATGGATGGGCTGTTTCCATTTTGATGTCTTTGGGTTACCAGCCGCAGCCAAGTTTGGCTGTGGGTACCATGTGAGTGTAGTAGAAGATGCTGTTACATGGAGTTAATGAACATCCTTGATTTGCGTTGCTGTAGCAGCCAGGAGCCCTTGGTGCAAACCTAGTGAAAGGAAGTGATTTCTGCCCCTAGAGCTCTGTAGCTTCCTCCTAGGGAGCCTGAGAAAACATTGCTGGTTGAATGGTCAGTGTCTGTATCCATACACCCACCGAACAGGAGCTGTCAGAGGCTTTTTGGCCACCGTAAGGAGGTCTAAAGCAGCATTTGGAGAAGCAAAGCCTCTGTGGAGAGTGCTGGCAACCTGGAGATGACACCTGGGAGTTGCCTGTGTGCTGGTGACATCCCTGCACTGCCACAGGTTCACAGGGGCTGTGTTTGTACCCTTAGAGAATGGGAATCGGGAGGCAAAACTGCAGCTGGATGGGAGCAAGGATCCTTTCATGAGCTTCAGCTGCTGCCTGGGTATGGGCTGGCATTGAGCTATGGGAAGGAGGCAAGGAGTCTGCTCTGCTTTGCTTGCCTTGCTCTGCCTTCCCCCCTAAACCAAGTGGCCTTTTCTGCAGCTGCCTGTGACAGCAGCAGTGCTACAGGGTGGAGGAAGCTGGAGCTCACCCAGGGTGTGCAACTTGGTCAGGGTTTTCCTGGAGGTTGCCCCTGCCCATGCAGAGCAGCTCAGGGAGATCAGCAGGAGCATCCTGGTTTGCGTGGCGTTACAGCCTGGTTATTTTAATCTTGGGCATCATCTCTGGCTAAAAACATTAGCTCACAGTTGCAGAAACAAACCCCAAGAGAGAGCAGGGCCCTGTATTGAGAAACAGGCACTGCCCCAAGGAGCTTGCAAAAAACCTGGGAGGGGAAGTCAACACCCCAGAGCAGGGCTGGGATTGCAGCACACTCCCCATGGCCCCAGCCAGCAGCCTACACATGGGGCCCCAGTGTCCTCCTGGCTGCTTAACACCGAGCTCTGACCTGTGCTGCTTCTGGGGGCTCAGGTTGCCAGTAGGAAATGAAGATGCCATGGATGTGAGGCTGAGCAGATGGGATGATCTCCAGTGGCTCAAGGCAGTCTGAGGATGGAGAAGACCTGCTTGTAGCAGGGACTGGGCAGAGTTGATCATTTCCAGCCTGCCTGCTGTGCTGGGGAGCTGGAGCAGTCAGCTTGCAAAGTCTGAGGGATGTGTGGCACACATTCCTTGAGCCCAAAACTCGGGGACTATGCAGTGGTGCTGGGGGACATGAAACTCCTGGATCTCTTACAGGGATGTGGCTTTGGACCAGCGTAGTCTGAGGTGTCTGCAGCATCCCCAGGAGGATGCCTGGGTACCTCCAGGCAGGATCAGGAGAGCTCCTGTAGGATGCAGGCAGGGGAGGATTATGGCAGATGAAGTGATACCTTTGGCCACTGGAAGCTGTGTGGGATGATCCTGTTCCCTAGCTAATTTCCAGCTCCCAATTTAAATCCTCTGGGCTTCCTCTCGCCCTTGACAAGATCAAGATCCTGGGCACCCAAGGGTGAACACCCTGCCATTGCATCCTCTTCCACAACCAAACCAGGCACGGAGGGATGCCTCTCCCTGCGTGCGCCATGGGGAAGAGGGAGATCGCTGATGGGGGAAAGAGGAGGTGGCTGCCTTCCTGTGGGTGTGTTTTCCAGAGCAGGACAGAAACCAAGACAGCTCAGGCACCAGCCAAACAAGGTGACTACATTGTGAGGAATGCAGGCACAGGCTCTGTGCATATGGGAGATGTGGAGAAGAGATAGAGGGGCAGCTGCGAAAGGCTTTTGCCATCACAGCGAGGGCACAGGCTCCTGAAAGGCAAGAGGAAGGGTCGGTCTCAGCACCTCCATCCAGAATGAAGTAACGTGAAAGTGGTACAAACCTCAGTGCCACCAGCCACTATGGCTACTGATGGCGGAGCAGGGTGAATCAAGCTTTTGGAGAGGTGTTGGGATAGGGAGAACCGTGAGGATTTTAAAACAGTTGTATAAAGATAAAGGGGTGGGATACAGATAAAATCCTGGCGCTTGAGCAGTGCAAGAGATGAAGGGACAGGCAGGAGCCATTCCAGAGCAGGTAATCCCTAAACCACTTCCTTTAGGATTCCCAGAGGAGGAAAAGGAGGAATGCCAGGTCTCATCCTAGAGCAGTTCTCCTCCTTTGTGAGGTTTTCCTGTGCTAATATTGGGTTTACTCATCTGGAGTAAGGATCCATCTATCTGCTTCTCTAGGATGAAACGAGTCTTGGTACCAACATGGTCAAGAATGATTTCGTCTGGGGCTGGAAAAGGCAATGGCAGGGAGTTTGTTGTCAGCCCCTGTCAGCTGAGGGTGAGGCTGGCTGACGAGCCTGCAGGTCCTGCAAGGGAGCAGGCCAGAGGGAACACATGAGATTCCAGGCTAACAAACTGGTTGTGTCCCCAGCCTGCAGAGCCAGCGGCATGAGGGCAGGAGACGGCCCCGTTCCTCCCAGACAGGAGCTTTGGAGCTGGAGCTTTCCTCTCCTGGCATCAAACAAGCCCTGCTCTTATGGTCTGGGATGGAGGGATGAGCAGAGCAGTGGGTGCTGCCAGCACGGGAGAGGTGATGGGGAGGAGAAGCTCCCCAAGGAGTGCTGGGTGGTGGCCCAGGCAGGACCCTAAATCAGGGGGAAGGATTCTTTATTTCCCTGGCTCCAAGTGCAGCCAAGGAGCCTGGGGAAACCTTCCCGTGTTTATCAGGAGCGAGCAGTTCGTTGTGCCCTGGGTTATGGGAGCATTTACACCTCTGTGCACGTCCCCGTGCTCAGTTCCCTGCTGGGGACCGGCTGGAGCCATTCTGGATCTGGCTCCGACGCAGCCCATGCAGAGCCGAGCCGCGCATGTATTCATCCCCATCCGCCTTTGATCTTAAGCTCTGTCAAGAAAGATGCTTTGGCAGGAATCTTGCCCATCAAGTACCATCCATAGGCGGCTGCAATGTCACAGCTGTGACCAGGCCCTGACAGCTCCAGGAGCTGAGCTGTTGCCAAGTTTAAGCCAAGCCTCCACCTTCTGCCCTCGGGCTGGAGGCAGCTCCTTTCTGCGCTGTGCAAAGGCTCAGAGCTCCCTGCTCCTGTGCCTGCTGAATTCAGGGGGGCAGCAGCTTTCAGGTATTGTCACAGGTTGGAGGAGCTGCCACTGATTCCCTTCCCCCTGAGCCTTTGGTCTCGCTGTACAGACACTGACCTGCTGGGGGTAGGAGCTGCTGCGTGGTCCAAGTGGCTGAGGAAGAGGATGGGGAGCTCTTCATCAGGCACTGCAGCGATAGGACAAGGGGTAATGGGTTAAAACTGAAACAGGGGAAGTTCAGGTTAGATATACGGAAGATGTTCTTCCCTATGAGGGTGCTGAGGCGCTGGAACAGGTTGCCCAAGGAAGTTGTGAACGCTCCATCCCTGGCAGTGTTCAAGGACAGGTTAGACGGGGCCTTGAGGGACATGGTCTAGAGCGAGGTGTCCCTGCCCACGGCAGGGGTTGGAACTGGATGTCTTAAGGTCCTTTCCAACCCAAACCACTCTGGGGTTCTGTGCTGCTGCCTGAGTGAAGAGCACATCACACGAGAGTGAAACTTGCTCACTGCATCCTCAGATGAGCCAAGCCCTTGCTGCTCCCTGTGCCACAGGCTGGGTACCGCTGGGATGTCACCGGGTACCACTTGGGTACCAGCGCAGCTGAGCTCCCTCACTCCCCCCTCCTCTTCCCAAATAGTCCCAAAGCTGTTTCCTTCCCCCGGCTCGGGGTGGGGAAGCCACTAGATGGCAACGTTACCTGCAGTGCGGCCCCGTCTCCTGGGGTCGGGGATGCTCGGGGGTGGCCGGGACCCCGCAGTGATGCCCGGGCTCAGCCCGGTGGGTCCGGTTAGCTGCACCTCAGCTGTGTGTGCTGAGGGCATTGCTGCGGCTGGGAGCACTGGGAGGGCTTTTAGGCACGACCAAACCAAGCTGATTTGGAGCCGGCCAGCACAGGAATGCACAGGAGCGTGTAACCTGCGGGAAACACCCCGTGTCTGCCCCTGCTCCCCTCACTGCCCGTGTTACATCAGTGCCATAGTCAAGCCTTGTTGTGCGAAGGGCTTTCGTCCTGGTGAGGTGGATGGGTCAGGTGTGAAAAGCCATCTCCTGTTAATCTGGGCTTGGAAAGGCAGGAGAAAGGCTGCTGAGAGCTGGTGGTGCTTTGGGCATGGCGCTCGTGTCTTGCTGGGCTACATCCGACTGGTGAGTTCCTGCAAGCAGAGAAGTTACTGACCTCGACTTTGTAGTGCTTCCCAGGTGCTGATTCTTCCCTGCTTCCCCTAATACAAGGCAGAGGAGTGGGATGGAGAAGCATGGTGGCACACTTCTCCAAGGCAGTCAGCTGGCCTGAATGGAGATGTTAATTAACTCTCCATCCCACTGGGGCCACAGTGCATGAGGAAATGAAACTACAGCCCTGAACAGAGAAGGGATGTGCTGTTCACCCAGGGAAGGACTTATGGGAGCTCCAAGCTGGAGCTTATAGTGATACAACAGGTAATATTATAAACAAGAGGCATCACTGTCTTTCCCTTGTGAGGCTGGAGAGAGTGGATCATGATGGATGGGGATGGGGATGGAGGCAGGAGTACAGTCCTGCCAATAGCTCTGCCCTTCCTCACTCCTTCACTCCTCCACTCTCTGTTGCAGTGCCTCCGGGTGCTCAGTATTACTTTTTCCTCCTCTTATTTAGAGCTTTTCTTGGTCTCTATCCATAGCCCTGCGCTGAGCCAGCCCCACGACAGATGTCACCACCACAGCATGGGAAAGGTGAGATTGGCCCAAGGGGAAGGAGCAGAGGCTGAGAGGTCTCAAGTCCCAGGTTCCTCCTCACGGCTCCTTTGCAGTAGAGAGCGATGGTGCTCATC